CTATCCTACTCTTCTCTTTAGAAAACTAAATAAAATCTCGGCGAATACCAAAAAAAAAACATTGAACCGGTTAGTTAATAGCTTCGCATTTGGTTTTCACTCTCAACAGAATTGCGTCACTTGCATTGCACCAGAATTTTATTTATCATTAAGTTAGAAAATAAGTTTAAGATCGCGAGGTCAGGTCGACAGCATCGAATAACTTTTATAGATTGAAACATAAAAGAACTGCACTGAAGATTTTCATCATGTTCCCGATATTAAACAAATAGGTCCCATCACAGCTCTGGGATACCAATACGTATTTTATTTAGTCCAGTTAATCAAGTTCTACAGACAATCCCTCAGTATCCAAGTATGAAACGACTTCGCCGAAAACTACTCCTCCTATATAAGTCCAGAAAGCGAAGTCTAAAACGGAAAATTTCGATCAATAAAGCAACGCCATGTAAGGTATAAAGAAAATGTCAGGCTGGAAAAACAATATTGCATGCAGCGGAGCACACACACATTCAACCAGTGGCGGAAATAACGTGATTCTATAGAACAGAATACGGGATGCCGATTCAAGTTTACATGGAAAACACGGAAAACAATTACTGCGGACGAGCGCTAGAACATCAGCACAGTAAATCAGCAAATGTCTTCAAAGAGTAATTAATTAATAAATATTTCTCCAGATTTAAATTAAACATGAAACCCCTATAATAATGAAATGATTACCTAGAAGTGGTACTGCGTCACTGGTTGTGGGCATGGTATCGTTAACCATGTTTGAGAATACGGTCAATGAGAGTAAGATGGTAACGCCTGGAAGATTAACATCAAAATAAAGAAAAGTCACTAGAAAATAACAAAATATAATAAACTGTTTGTGTGAATTGTTTAAACCAAGATAACGGCTGAAAGAACAGTACTGAAGCAGTGCAAAAGAAGTGTTGGCGAAATTCGCAGCTATTCTAACGTAACTCGAGTGTACGTGTATAGAGAGATGACATCTTCGAACAAACGGCGTGAATCATTACAAGTGAAAGATGCCAGGCAAGGCAGCGTAACTACTATAGATAGATGGTGAAATGGCACATACGAGCAAAGTTTTCGTACCTATTAAGGGAACGGACTCGCTTGTCGTAGGCATGGTTCCCGTGACCATGTCAAGGAACACAGTGAGGGATAGGAGGACGGTCACGCCTACAAGAACGCAATCGTCAAACTCAACAAAGTAAACCAAAACAAGGGGAACACCAGATTAATATAGCAGCAGTGAAGTATTCTGAATCGGGGCGCATGCCGAAGGCCAGCTTCAGACTTAGTTCATATTCCTTTCCCTTTGTAAGAGGGCTAGAGGTCATAGAAGCCTATGAAGTCAACTTATGAAACCATAGCGTCTTATGTTCACAGCCACCACTTAAGCATGCTAAATGTAAGCATGGCTATTCTGAACCTGACCAAGACTCTTCTGGCCTCACCTCTTCGGGCCTGACCTACTCAAGGTGCAACATTTCTCAACTCAAAACGAACCTGAATGGACTTAACCTAACCTCATTGGCTGCAGGAAGTTGGAAAGGCGGTCCAAGTGTACTGGTAGAGCCAGTCATTGGCTGAAAGAAGGTTGTGAGCCGGTAGAGCGTGAATAGGTTGGGCCTGAAGAGGTTAGGCCAGAGTAGGTACAGCCGGGCTTGGAACTGCCTGCTTATGAGCGAGCATGCTTAATCATTGGCTGAAGACCTACGGCGCTATTATCTTTCGGCAGTGTGTCGCTTGTCTGGATTATTGAGTTCAAGAGTATGCTGCGGCTTCTAGCTCTCAGGCTGAGTAATGGTGGCATGGTGAGGCTAGGCATTGGCTCCGGGGCTTTTATAAGAGTTTAATTTGTGGCCTACGGCTGCGCCCCCTTCTGAATCAAACCATTTATTTTGATCATTCCTCTGAAGAAAATGAATTACAAAATGCAAGCAAAATGAAACAAGTAAATTCTGAACTCAAATTTGTTACAGTATCTACGAAAGAAAAGCGGCCTCGAGGCATACGCCTCTCAGCCAGATAGGCCCAATTGGAGGTCGGTAATAGAATTGAAATGAAAAAAATCTTGTTCTTGGGTCTAAATTTGAATTTACATTCAGAGAGTGAGTTAGTAATCGATAAATAGTTGAAACTTTGTAATTAATCAGATTTTTTATTTATGAAATGCTACGTTCGGCACAACTTAATACCAGTCGCTCATTTAAATTTTAGTAGAGCAGAGAATGTGAAGACTCATTCAATTTTAGAAATATTCAGGTATACTCATTTCACAATTAAAAAGGACGAAATCACTGCTCGTGATGGAAGCTAGCCGCGAATATAAGTTACAACAATAAAGTCTATTCGTAAGACGTCTTCGTTAAATTGCAATTCGATAGTTGAAAGTAATATGGAAATTTTATGAAAGTTAAATTAAATAACGACATTCGATAGAATGCTTGAGACGAATAAAAGGAAAGGGTGAACTGCAGAGAAAAAAATTAATTCCCGATTGTTCGCGTAATGCCGATGACTTTTGCACGAGTCATAATAAAACTTCAAGCCTTATATTTTTCTGAACGCAAAGGTTCGAGCTACTATCGGGTTTAAAAAGCAATAGTGTAAAGATGGGATAAAAGGGTTAAATTCCATGTAGTGTTTGGAATACGAGAATTAAGAGAGGGTTTTATATAAAACGACCAACAAAATGATTTATTGAAACGGTTCTCAGGGAAAAATATTTTATTTAGAATTGAACTGAACCGACAAGCAGAAGGGTTTAGCGTCCAGGAACGGCATGCAAGATAATGTCAGCCATTTCACCATCGCTCTTTTTTTAAGAATAAATTTCCTCGGATGTTTTTGATTTTGAATAACGAGAAAATATTCATTTAAATATTGGCATGATACGCTTCGTTCGAGTTAGTTAAAGAAACATTCGACTGGTTTCTTTTAGAAAGAAAAGGTATTAATTAGTGTCTTTGATTAACCATTGACCCCGAATAAAAGGTTATTAATTAGTGTCTTTGATTAACCTTTGACCCCGAATGAAAGTTAGTTAATTAGTGCCTTTGATTAACTTTTGACCCCGAAGAAAAGATAATTAATTAGTGTTTTTTATTAAACAATGACCCAGAAATAAAAAGAAGAAAAAATATCGTTGTAGCTCAAAATTAGACACAAAAGACAAAATAAGGAGTATAGTAAAGCTGAGATATAGCATTTAATAATCTATGATAAATTATAGCTCGAAACTCATATTTCTGATATCAAAATTATACACATAAATTATTCAACATTTATTATGCAGGTACGTGTAATCCTGTTTCGGATTAATTCGTTAATCATCATAAGAAGTCATCAAATTTTCAACAGAGATATCACCATTAATTTATTGACTAGGAGCATTATTTCTACTGCAAAGCAACTATTTTCATATTATTTCATAATTATTTCGATTTCACAGGCTACTTCAGACGTGTACGCAAAGGAATAATGAGAAAGAATATAGCACGGTCCTATAACAATGAAAATAGCTGCCATACAATTACTTGTAAGTAAGAAGTGCAGTTACGTAGAAAAAAACGCATGCAAACCTATAGAATGTCACAAGGCTGGTCTTGCCAGCAGATTGAGTGCAGATGAAGAATCAACATATCATTAGAATACTTGAAATGAACTCAAGAAAATGTAGTTTAAAAAGAATAAATCGTTTTCTCACGTATAATAACATCAAACAACTTTGATCAGTGAAGAAAAAGAGGAGGTTGAAAGGGAAAAGGAAACAAAGTAAAATTGTTACGAGCTGCAGTGCAACTAAACTGACATTCAGGCAGACCGCTCGACAATATTCAAGTCACCTGGAGAGCAGCTATGAGACCCCAGCTCTTGCAATGATATGTTTGCTAGCTGTAACATCCCTGCCTAAAGCATGAACGAACGAACGCTAAAATTTCGCTTTCTCCCTCAGCGAGGAAATTAAACAACAGGTTTATTAATTACGCGGTGGACGATATCAAGTCAACAGTAATTAGTTTGCCGCAAGTGTTGCACTCGTTAAGATTTTCTAAATGAACCGTTGGTATTGCACCGAGTACGAATAATGGAAGCACAAGACTGTTTTTCACAGTAACAACGATCGTCCACAACCAAACAATGCATTTTGATCGTCAAATATTTGATCCGTAATATAATCATGATTTGATGTAATAAATAACAACATTGTCTTGGCAGTTGTGGAATATCCTTGTTTACAGTGCAGAATATAATATTATTCAGCACTGTTTATTATTCGGTGTACGAATATATTATTTTTTATTTTATCTTGGCCGTGTTCCCGCTGTTGGTTTCGTCGCACCTGAAAAAATGCGCTGTGATTTTGTGTAGGTTAATCCACAAACTGAAGCGCTGAAATCCAAAGCAAATCAACTTTAAACTTAACTACGAGAAAATGAAGGTGACTGAACAAATTATGGTATGGTAAAAAAGCTAAGCAAAGAAGGAATTTGTTATTCATCTATAATTGAAGTGTGGTGTTGGGGGAGGAATGTTTTCTGCTATCAGTAACCAATTGACTTGTATTTAGTGGCATGACAACTAACTATCTGCAGCTAGTAACTCATCGACATGAGGGAAACCCACGCGAAAAAAGTTACGCTTTATCGCCAAACCACGTAACTTTTTATTGCAATACATTATTCTATTCTGAGAACTCTCTTCACATTAAAGCCAGTATCGCAGCTGATCTTTGAGACAGAGAATTTCTAAATATTGATTGAAATTCAGCCAGCACATTCCGAAAATTAGAAATCTGATTTTGAACGACAATTACGCAGGCAAGATACTCCGAAATGCCCGGATCATTCTCACAGAAATGATTCTATTACAAACCAAGCATGAAACATGAATGATAGCCAAAATTAATAGTACAGTAATGTAAACTGGCATTAATAGTACAGGACGGCATGTAAACTGGCACGATATGGGCTCAAATTTACCGATGAGGGGTACAGATTCAGAAGTCGCCGGCGTGGTCGCCGACACCATATTGAGGAAGAGTGTGAGCGACAAGAGGATTGTGATTTCTGCACGCCCATGTATACACAAATAACGTATTAATTTTTAAAGGCCAATATGTGTGGGAAGTTCTAAAGGCCATTTAATAACAAAGGCAAAAACTCCCGGGTATACACAAATAATGTATTAATTTTTAAAGGCCAATATGTGTGGGAAGTTCTAAAGGCCATTTAATAACAAAGGCAAAAACGCCCGGGTATACACAAATAATGTATTAATTTTTAAAGGTCAATATGTGTGGGAAGTTCTAAAGGCCATTTAATAACAAAGGCAAAAACGCCCGGGTATACACAAAATAATGTATTAATTTTTAAAGGCCAATAAGTGTGGGAAGTTCCAAAGGCCATTTAATAACAAAGGCAAAAACGCCCGGGTATACACAAGTAATGTATTAATTTTTAAAGGCCAATAAGTGTGGGAAGTTCCAAAGGCCATTTAATAACAAAGGCAAAAACGCACGGGTATACACAAATAATGCATTAATTTTTAAAGGCCAATATGTGTGGGAAGTTCCAAAGGCCATTTAATAACAAAGGCAAAAAAGATTTATTTCATGGGGTCATGGAAAGCCTCTATGAGAAATAAATGAGTCTTGTTGAAGTGACCGCGTGGAACTTAGTGCCTTATGGTTTGATTTGAAGTGCACGGTAGCACTTCAGGAGATAAAAGTTTGGTGATTGGAATTATGAGTGAGTCAATATTCTTGCTTATTTCGAAAAGTTTGAAATATAACCAAAACTATAAGTATTTCGAACTCATGGCTTCCGTACATGGTTGCTATACAATTTGATTGAAGGCTACAAAATAAAATGAAAAGTCTATGCTGATTTCAATACAACTCCTGATGAATTTTCAGCTTAAATTGCATGTAAAGCACGTATTGATAAAATGCTATGATCAAGAAATAGAACTCATTTAGCGCGGTAAATTTTACAATCAGAAGGAAACTCGATCACTAAATTCATTCAATCCTGAAATTTGATTTTAGGCCTGGGGTCGAGAAAAAATAAGGTATATATCATGACTATGTACATAGGCCGCCACTGAAGCTTATAATTGAAAAAAAATATAATTATAAAAAAATTAGGGCATTTGACCTGCCAACGTTCAGCAGCTTGCGCTCTGATGGAGTTATTTAACTCCCGTTTCACTGAATAAATTTGATGACATTTAACTGTAAATACGCCCATTTGGCGCTCACAATGTATAACAGCCCGTCATCAATAGTATTTTCAGAATATATACCAAAAAAACTTTTACATGATTAGATGGGAACTTTGCTTATGAAATGGGTAAGGAAATCAGATGGACATTGCATAATGTAAATGTTCAATTGTTCAAGACTTATTATCCACATCAAGACGTTACACTGCATTTGTTGGCTGTCAAGAAAACAGTTTAACTCCTCCATCTTGTTACGTTAGGTCCCATTGATATAAGTGGTATAATAATTAGTTTTAGAATCAATCTAGCGTTTTGGCACTCCTTTCCTTTGAAACGACCAATGGCTGAACGTTATTATCGACATAAGGACAATATATTACTAGGTGCTCAAATGAGCCTGATATACGGTAATTCTAATAATAGCCAATAATTTGTTTATTAATGTGACTCACAAAGAGAATTTAAGAATGTAAAATTCATTGACTCAGACTGGTTCAGAATTGCAGGAATTTAGTTGGTGTTCTTACTAATTACATTTCGTACCAAGATTGTTAATGAATAGTTCGAGCAAACCATTTCACTTTTTAAAAGATTTTGTGTCGATTCACATACCAAATTTAATGTTTTTACAAAAGCTGCAAAAATTGTCAAAAATAGTAAAAGTTATTTTGTTCCTAGGATATCAAATGATATCCAACTCCTTGAAGGGCTCTTATTTTCTCGAAAAAAATTCGGTTTTCTGATTAGTCAAACAGAAAAATAATCCATGCCATCTCAACAATAACATTCATCGATAAATACTGTCAACGATCATTGCAAAGGCTGCACGTGAAACTCGAACGACCTAAATATTGTGATTAAAGAAAATTTTCATTCCGAATCAAAAATATGAACGATATGAACAGCATTACAAATTTAATCTGTAAGAATAGAATGATCCATGACAAACATTATAGTGAGTTTTACTAGAATGAGACAAATTTGGTAGCAAACAACTTAAAACAATTTTAATTCACCGACGAAAATTTTTAGATTCAATCCTGAAGGAAATGAATAACGATTTCTGACACAGTAATGAATTCAATGGATGACTTCGTTCAACCGCACAAACCGAAACCCGCGTAAAAAGATCCTTTCGTCGTAACAAAACAAAAAGTCAATATAATTATTTTACAAATAACTAAATTAATGTTTCTAGTCCAACCATAGATTTATTTGAGACATTGTTAAAGGGTCAAATAACTAAAGTTAGTATCTCTTAGGTATTAGTAGTGAGATACTTTGGAGCAAGGCTTTATATGGCATTTTCATGATAGTAAACAAACACCGAGGATTGGAGAGCGGAAATTAAGATTTTCTCCCATGGTTTGAGCATTATTTTCAAAGGACAACATTCATCTAGATCACTTTACTTTGATGGCTTCCCTTAACAGAAGAAGGAACCAAGGCTATATTCAAATAGAGAGAGAACAGCAATGACACATTAAAGAGGGGCTCGTAGCTACTCCACGGTGTACGTCTCAACTTAAATTTCTATAAACAAAAAACTAAGTTTGAGTTCACTACAATTAAATCATTGAACAAACATAAAATTGTTCAGGCCAAAGAAATACAAAATTTGTGGAGAGAATTAATCAAAACCAAAAGAAATATCTTGAAGAGTAGATAGAGAAAGAAAGAGACAGTGGCAGGAGCATATGTGGAGGAAGGCGTGAGCGACATGCACACTTAAAGAAAGCCACAAGAAAGATACTTATAATTCTTGACTCTACACAAGAACTATTCAGCGCTTCTAGAAGCGAAATATTGAAGTTGTTCAATATTGAGGTCATTTAATACTCCTGAGAAATGGTGCAGACTTCGGACATAATCCACCGCTGGTCCTCAGGAACCGAATGCATTGTCATGGCCCAACTATAGTTCAATTATCATCAGGTTTAAGGTTTTTAGGAAGATAAAGATTAGCAGGAAGAGTATGGATTTCATTATAGTTTTACACAGTCTCTTCGAAGTGTTAGCACCAAAGTCAGCAGAGTCACTGCTAATGCTTGTATGAAGCAGACTTCAAGAGGTTAGAAAAATATGAAAAATTATACATGAGCTTGGTTTTATGTCCTACTGGAAATGTATTTCACGAAAATATCTTTTAAAAACCCCTGAAAAAATCTCATGTTATAGGGGAGGTAACACTGATAGTCCTGCTTTTTGAATGAAATTTAAAAGAACGACCTATCATGTCACAGTGTTAAATAAATTGTGAGAAGGAGCATAGAATTAAGGACATGAGCGGAAGTTGAACTTTAAGAGCTTCACTAAAGAAAAAGAATTAACATTCGCAATTCCCTATATCAGTGGAGGAAGAGGTGTAATGAAGGTTTTAGAAGGCAGTTTAGGGCAAGTTTTATTGCAAGTGACGCATTTTTTCCTGAATTTCGAAGCTCGTTTCGGCCAACAATTCATACCCGGGAAACGCTCGACGCAAGAATATCATCTTTCTTAAAACTTATAAGCGATTGCGAACTGGATATTTTATCTTAGAATATTTCGACCGATTTTCACGCACATTTTTTACCGTATTTGCTAAATTACATATTTATGATTAACAGACGAGTATTTAGGTCACGAAATATTCATTATTTATAGCATTGCCTTTAAAAATACTTCACTTATTTAAAGGGAGGAATCCGACTGCCCCATTCCAGAGAACACGTCCAATGTGATTTATAAATTAATGAAGAACTATGGAAATATAATTGAATTTTGAACCCAAATTAAGATTACTTTAGTGTATGTGTCTTGTCATTGTGTGGATTATGTACATGATTCAATGTAGATGGAAGGTTAGGTTATTTCTGAGCTGGTCTTTATTTACAAGCCTTCATTTAACTTAGATCGAGGCAGTTGCTTGACATTTTAGCGAAAACAAATTTACATAAAAGTATAATCATACAGAGCAAAATATTATCTTTCATGAGTAGCTGGAGTTCGCACTTTGCACTTGTGTTCGTCTATATTCTTTTTGATTACTGCTTCTCCTTGCGATAAGTTAATAACAAATGATTTTCATCACCTCACTCAGGAAGAGGTAGTAAAAGCAATGTATCAATCATGATAATATACCTATAATCATTCAGTTTGCAGGATAATATGACAATTTTGATAATTTATAAATAGTTATGTACAATCTTGATAAAAACACCAATTTAGTGGTAGTAATAGGATATATGTTATATATTCTCCTACCTAAGGTGAGTTTCTCTCCAGTAGCTGGAGGAAGGGTAAACCCCAGCAAAGTCATACTGCTTATGAGGACGCATGGAAGTACGAGGTTGAACAAGTAATAGAGAGTACGGCGTCGGATGATCACGGTGAAGGTTATGTCCACATAGGGTTGGGGACAGCATTGGTAGTTCAAAACGTTGCGAACGCCAGGTAAACCTGTAAAATAATCAAATGCCAGGAACAAAATATTACTTTTCAATAGATAGCAAACGTCGGCATAGCTCTCGGGAGCCCAAGATCGCAATCGTTTTCGTCGAAGAGTTCAGAACCGCACGAAGGAAGAGTTTCGCTTGTCCGAAGTTCAGGTGGAAAATGAACATTGGGTGTCGTAGTAACATCGCAAAACGAATGTGGGAATTACCTAATCAATGACCATCAATTGAATGGGTCGACAATTAATTGGTCGTAGCTAACGCAAGCAAACGTAAAAAAATTTTTCGTATAAAAAATTATAAGAAGCGATGTTTGTGTTTTTTTGGAAATCTTGTAATAAATGAGTATTACGGAAAACAGAAGCGTATGTCTCTGGCTTTAAAAACAAATTTTCCCGCCAATATTGTTGGACTCGTGAGCTCAAGAGGCTGTCGGTGTTACCTGCCCATAATTTTTCTCTTCCATAAGACTGGGAACGGTGTGTACAAGTTTTCAATAAAACTAACGGATTTCTTCAACATATAGCACTCTCATTTCTTCCTCCAACTGACCAACTTCGGGAAATTTCCAATCGGTGAAGAGACAAATGGAAAATCGGACTCCGGAGTAGAAGCAAACTTTACTTTCGAAGTTGTCCACTTGTGTGAAGACTTAGCGACCGACGCGCGTGACCATTGATCAAGGAAGGGAACGGGATGTGTTAGAGCAGAAAAAGTGTTCTAGCACCAGAAAATGAACCAAAAGAAAAGAAAGTCGATAGAACTTAACACGAAACGTAGTACATAAAAGGTGTAATGAAAAAAAAATGTTTACGATAACGTCTTGAAGAGCTAAGACAAAATCGGAAGAAAGTAAAATCGAAAGCAGCGGGTCATTACACAGATGTGTTTAGAGTAGTAAATCGGTAGATTTAACACAAGTTACTTTGGAAAGCGCATCTTTACCTAATGAGAGTTTCTCTCCGCAGTCTGGAGGCAGGGTAAACCCAAGTACCGCCATGGACGCGATCAGCACACACGGCAGAATAAGGTTGCAGAAATAGTACAGTGTGCGCCTCCTTATCATTATCTCGAAAGTAACGTCTACATAGGGTTCAGGACAACATTGGTAGTATATGGCGTTACGCTTCCCTGGACAACCTAAAGAGGGGAGAAACCAGCATGTTCAGTGGCACAACATATCACCTAACCTTGGGGTGTAGGTGCGAGTCTTTCTAGCTGCAATCCTACACTCAGAAATTTCAAGCATTTTTAAGTATTTCTCATGATCTCCTGCCAAATTCCATACAGGAAACTAGGACGAGTTTAAAAGAAGCATTCAGAATTATTTCATGAACAGCCTGATAGATTGGATGATAGGCTTACATATTTAAAGTTGTTAAATTGTTCCTTATGTGATTGATAAAAATAAAATTATAAATCTGAGCTTTCAAGTTTATATTTGCGTCTCGAGAATTCATTAAAGCATTTTAAACAAATTCAAGTAAAATATTTCTTCCTAAATCTACGGAATTGCTATGTATGGATGAAAAAATCTAAGGTTAGAGAAAAACAAAAGTTTACACACGGAAACTCGAGCAAATATTGTCAGGTCTCATGACCTGGAGGCCTGAAATTAAGGTTTGACAGGAAGCTTGGAGAAGGGAAATTGAAATACCACTTACCAATGAGGTCCCACTCGCCATTTTTGATGAAGTCGCTGAGATCGCCGCCTTCTTCGCTTTGCAGCTGAAGGTCAAGCTGCAGGAACAGAATTATATTTCTGTAAAATTTTGCAAGGGCTTTATTAGTGAACAATCAAGATCTGCTGACAAATAAAGCTGAAGTTTCTCAATAGCTTGTCACTGACCTGAAGAATTACCACTTGGCATCAATTTAATGAGTGACCTAAACGCACGTTTGAAATTTCATTTACTATTATTTTTGAAATGTATAATTCTCTTCTAAGGGTTTATTGGTCCGAACAAAGCGATGAAACAGGATATTCGCTATATATTAATAACATTCATTCTTTTATTTACTGGAACAGTACTTTATTGCGTGCATGTGCCAAAGTAGAAAGGCTGCGATGGCTTAAATAAATGAAAATTAGATTTACCTGTCACGTATCCTCACAAGCAATACTGTAGGTGTGAGTGGTTTAGTTTAGTATAATTAATAATGAAGTTTCCCCTTCAAAATAACGATTCACTCAGTTTATTCACGGCCAATATGGAATTCACTTACCTGCCACCCGGAGTACGTCCAGGAGCCGAATTTCATTTTGCACTTTTGATCGTCGAACGGGAACCAAGTGATGTCGATCTTGCATGTCGACTTAAAGATGCCGGGCGGGATGTACAAGCAATTCCCATTGCTCGACACCACCACTTTGGTTTGATATGTGCCGTCAAAACCTTCATCGGCGCTGGAATGCAGCAATAAAAGAATGTTTAAGGCACTTTCATCCCGGTATTTTCTAACAACGCTATACGGTAACGCTATTCGAGGTATATGTAACTTAACCGGCTAATTTTCACATCGTGACAATACACTTTCTTATTTATATTCGGCAATAAGGGAAAACATATCTTTTAATTAGAGAGTCTTTGACCACGATCTGGTGACGGCCGCCTACCTATTGTACATGAGCACGTCGGGCTTCCAGATTTTGTAGGGTGGGATGCGTAGGTCCTTCACGTTACCGTAATCCGACTCGTTCCACTGCAGATTGACATCGTTCCATTCCTTCAGATTTTAATCGTAAATCGACGGAACGGGAGATAGACGGCGTCGGGAGTTTGATGGGAGCGCAGGGTATGAGAGGGAGGTGAATAGTGCGTATATCGACGTCGAGATAGGAGCGGTAGGTATGAGAGAGGAGGTGAATTATTCGTATACGGTCGCCGAGAATAGTTCCAGGAGGTATTAGAAAATTGGTGCGTAATATTGAAAAGGAAGTAAAGGAGCGGAAGAGATCGGTAGTATTTCATATTTGATTTGATTGTGGTTCGTTTAGGATTGATGATACAATATTTGGAGCAGTTCGAAAGAGGGTTGGTAAGCGGAGCAAGAGAATGTGAATCAAATGCATTAAATAGACGATATTGAGACGAGGTGTCGATGTAAAAACAACCAAATTTTTTTAGAGTTTGTTCGTGTTGACATAAAATGAGAAAACAGCAAAAAGCATTTGTCGAATGATAAAAAAAATTAAAAAGCAAATTGAAAAAAGGGCAATGATATTTCGAGCAGATAACTCAAGTTAGAAAGTTGCAAAGGGGATAAATATTCATTGTCAAGTTGGGAATCCATGAGTGTTTTGTGTGGGGCGGGCCAAGAAAAAGAACTACGTTAGTATAGCCAATGGCGACCTTGGTCATCATTACATTCTAGATCGTATTTACCAGTATTTTCAAATATATCAATATATATCCAATGTATTTCATGATATTAATGCGACACCTTACATATTAGGGTAAGGCTAGAATTATACAAAATTATACACTTCGAATTGTAAAAAAGAAACGATGCACGTAGAAAGGAAGCCATGCAGACTGAAGAGTTAAAAACTTGTAACATTAAATATTGACTGGGAAAGGAATATGTACATCTATTAGAGAAGTTACATAAAGACTGGTAATAGAGATCCAGACGTCGACCATAATCCTTTACAGGGCTTGGTATTGAAATAGGTATTGTATTGAAATAGGTAGGTATTGAAATAGTCTCGGCAACTTCTTAGGCGCTTACTGTGCTTTCAAATGATATATCACAAGCACAAGGCAGATATAAAATTTACTGAGTTCAAAGAAAAACCTACCTCCTCGAAGTTAGGCTTGTATTAGACTTTCTGAATAAATCCTTAATCTAAACTTTTGGAGCCAGCAAAGAAGGCGCATTCTAAACTCATTACCGCATTCGAGCAGTGAAATTTCCATCTTCAACTTTAATGATAGAAATTCAACAATTTTTAATATTAACTTTGCTTCAGGACGTCAAGTCTCCCAGAATATTTAGGATATTAGATTTATTAAAATGATCGAAATAATTTCTCGAACTGAAACATTTGAATTTACCCGCAACGGATCACTTCGACTTCTCGATCTATATTGCCGTACCGCCTTATGTTCCGCCGGAGCGCAATGATACTCTACGTTGTACAGCGTGCGTTCAACTCGAGAAAGTATAATGGTAGAAGCGAAGGTTGGGGGCATAATATTATGTATAAATAGAGAATGGAGGAGAAAAATCATAGTTTCTCTGATATTACACTTGCTTTGTTATGAAGAGCGGAATGCAAGACTGTAGACTTGCTACGCAAACGAATTTCAAATTAATAAGGGGTTGATCATCCACATGATTTTAGAACTGCTTCGTGTAGAAAGCATATAATGAAACTGACAGATACGTTAGTTACGATCTCATTTTACGGACGATACAAAACAAACGATTAGTTATCGTTAAGCGACATGCATTGATAATTAGTTTTCTGCGTTCATAATTAAGTGCGAAAGTAAGGTTTGGAATAAACGGAATTTCGGATTTCCAATACAGGAAAACTGAGGTTCATAGAAAACGCATAAAAATTAGATTTTCGAGGATAAACTAAGCTGTCTTGTAAACAACTTACCCCGAAGCAATTTAGACTCAATTCTTTATTTAAGGCAAACTTCATTCAGAAATTAAATGGACTGGGAAATTAATGCAAGATATTAACGGCAAATTTTGAAATTATTTAGCACACAACTTTATTTATCCTCGCTGTATTAGGTTAGAAAGATTGATGACTTACCAATTTTAACCACGTGTTTGTTATTAGGAGTTGATTCTTCTCGTCCTTAAAGCAATAAAAAGAGAGTATATATATTGTGATGTCGATTTCACTGCCTCGGCTTGGCATGGCTACCTACACACGCCAGCAATTACAAGTAAATCGCATACATCAGAAACAGATGGCTTCTTTGCGAAATTATTGCCAACCCAAACTTTTGTTTAATGTAATAGATGAAAGAAACAAAACGCGTGCCTCCTGAACTGAGTACATAACGTGACGTCTATTGCGCGACAACAAGTAAAAAATTATTTTTCAAAATAAAGGGAATAATAATAATAGTTGTTGGAAATAGCGTCAAATAAAGAAGTACCCATGAAAAGCCTTTAATAACTTATGCATGCTGAGTAGGAGTGGCACTCTGATGAGAAGCGTAATCCAAATGAAAAATTCTTGGCTGATTTATCGTTGACCACGAAATAGCGGTGGTCAGGCCACGGCGATACACCATAATAAATGATGAGTGTGTCTATTCATCGAACAAAATGAATGAGAAAAATGAAACAAAATCTTCTCATCATGTGTGTCCTCTCCATGACTCCGAGGTCCGCAAACTGCTATAGTTGTCTTGGAAATAATAATTAAATAAAAGGACGAAAAATGTGAACGTCTCAAGCCGTATGTTTCCACGTACATAAAAGGACATAAAGGCTTCGGTCCAAGAGAGCAGTGCTCAGAAATTCCATAAGCTCCAAAATGTACATATATGATTTGAATTCTTTCCACTATAAGGAAATTATTATGAATGTTTTATTGATACTCAAGGGAGGGTCTGGGCACCGATCTCCCAAGAATACCATAGTTGCTTCTCTCTCATTCGAGTCCGTAGCGGCTGGACTTCGTTAGACTTACCGCAAGCTAAGATTCTTTAACAATTGCGACACATCTCCAAAATGTTTCACACTCAAATATTATCCATTGGCTTTTCGCGAGAAAGATGCTTATTTTATAACACGACACATTTGACAGCGGTATGTACAAACGAACAATCATGGTTCAACAAGGTTCATAGAATCACGTGTTCATGGGCAAGACTGTAACACGGAAGGGACAACATTCGTTCTCATACAGAAGATGCTTTACAGGGCTCGACAAGAATGGCGGGAGAATTTCTTCTGCATTCCCTACTTGGACATTGGAAATTCGAGAGGGCTTCTTGGAAAGTTTATAATAGCAAGGGGGGGATTGTAACTAAATATTTTTTAAGGGTCTTCATTTTTTTGTTAGCTAGCAATAGCTTTTGGATTGCGTGTCTTCAAACTTCAATTTTTCTGTTTTCTTAAATTTAATTCCACTTATGGAAGATGCATATGACATTTCATGGTAAGTCAAAGTGTAAAGTAAGTTTGTTGGTTAATGCGCTTTGCGCTAGCAGTTTTCGAATTTTTAGCGTTCTTAATGCCTTCTGAAAGGGTATTGTCGTGTAATAATTAATTCAGTGCTACCGAAAGGCATCGTTCCGACAAGAGGAATACTAATAAGTTTACTGAAGTCGCTTGGGTTTCGGCAGCAAGCAAAAAGAGCTGGAATAATCATGCCAGTTCTTTCCTTTTACCGCCTCATGTACAGAATTTACGCTTCAGGTAAGAATAACATGACAGAAGTGCATGAGTGCGTTACTTAAATGGTAAAGATCATTTACGAGTGAGAGTGAGATTTAATAATCGCAATTGACCACGTCGTCTAAAATTTTCGAGAATGATAGAGGCAGCAACTAAGGTCTTCTTTTCACGGCCGGATTCTCAAAAATCATTGCGATGTCGTAAGTGAAATTATTTCTATGTTCATGGAAGAACTGACGATCGTTGTGATAATTTTTGAGAATACAACCTTAGCATGACTGAAGGACACAAACCTACAGTAATGGCTCACGCTAACCTAATCAGCCCACACGGGCAACCACTTACCATATTTAACCAAACGTTTGTTGTAAGTATTTGGTTCTTTTCATCCTAAAACGAGAAAGCATATGAAGCTATACAATATAAATTCAGGCAGTACTTATAAATAAACTGTAGAACGTCGAAAGCTCAATAGAATTCTATAAATATTAATGACTAATATAATAACAAGAATGATAAAACGGGCTCATTATAGCAATTTGTATGTATTTAAAAATATTTATAATTAAACTTGCTATGGGGCCTGTGGAGACATTAACATGAAAGGAGGAAATTGGCCGTATCACATGGAACATAAGCTGCTCAAATAACACTCTCAATACAGAAAAACATTAAATTTTTTGTTTATAAATAATTTTATTCTAATTTAGGCCTGGAGTAACTTAGAGCATAGAGGTTAGGCAGCATGCATTGGTTGAATATCTGGAGAACCATGCACAACATCTAAATGATTACAAAATTCTTTCTAAACAACCCGCTTTAATAAATAAATTTGCACTCAAATGTGGGCATGGGATTTTAGTCTTATGTCGTGGTGTTGTTTACATTATTTTAGCACGGGAATCAATTTTAGTATCGTGTTGTCGTTTGCAATATTTATAAGCACGATATTCCATTATTTTATCATGACGTTGACGAAAGAATGCTTTAGATGTTCAGCATTTAAATTAATTTGTATTCTCTCATTAGGATTAAGTTCTTTATTCATTGCAGTTAGAGAATTATTATTAATTTGCAAGGGATGTTGCAGCAAATTCGTTAAAACAATTAACGTGCAAAGTCAATACGCTACGCAGATTATAAATACTTGTTCATTTTTGCTTATTCTTTATTCTAAGCAACACTCGACAGACGTTAAATTTTACGAGCACTTCAAATATTATATAATTGAATTCATAATAGGATTATCATCAATTGGAAATTCTTTCTTATAAGAATAAATCGCAATTGAGATGCGTAGGTTCATGGGTAGCGAATTTTCATTCAATATGCATAAGTTCTTTTCATTGTTTAATTATGTAGAATAAAATCAACAATCTGTTTCCAGTGGTATTATGTATCACTTGATGGAAAATTTAGTCCAATATGCTCGTCTTTTAGTCAATTTTTTCTAAAGACCACGTGAGTGATACTCGGAGGGCATGCAAAAGAAGCGTCGGGGCACAAAATCTTCCCAGCGGGGCCTTGGCTTACAAGCTGTGCCCAGCGGGGCCTCGCCATGTAGCGGTACCCCGCGGGGCCTCGGCATGTAGCGGTGCCCAGCGGGGCCCAGACATGCAAGTGTGCTCAGCGAGGCCACGTCCTACAAGCTGTGCCCAGCGGGGCCTCGGCACGTAGCGTTGCCCAGCGGGGCCTCGGCATGTAGCGGGGCCTCAGTATGTAGCGGTGCCCAGCGGGGCCACGACATGCAAGCTGTAGGCCTCGGCATGTAGCGGTGCCCCGCGGGGCCTCGGCATGTAGCGGTGCCCAGCGGGGCCTCGGCATGTAGCGGTGCCCAGCGGGGCCTCGGCATGTAGCGGTGCCCAGCGGGGCCTCAGTATGTAGCGGTGCCCAGCGGGGCCCAAACATGCAAGTGTGCTCAGCGGGGCCACGTTCTACAAGCTATGCCCAGCGGGGCCTCGGCATGCGAGTGGTGTTCAGCCATGCCACGGCATATAAGCGGTGCCCAGCGGGGCCACGGCATGCAAGTGGGGCATATCGGGGCCACGGCATAATGTGCCCAGAGGACTAATGGCATGCAAACGGTGCCAAGCGAGGCCTCGGCATGCGAGCTATTACAGGGAATAACAACATAGCAAGTAATTCACTCCGATTGCTATTGATTTGGAAAATCCAATGCATAAATTAGGGTTTAGAATGTGATTATTGCAAAAGTTTTTAATTAGGTAATACAGACCAAACGTTGGCGCCGACCCCAAGAGTTGAATTGACGGGACAATGTTTCTTTGTTTGTAATTGTAGGGAACTGATTCGAGATGTTTGAGTAGTTTTCTATTTATGAGAAATGAGTGATAAGAATCCGGTGTAGTGTGTTAAAAAATGCAAAAAAAAAAACGTGGAATTTTGTCATTGAGTTCGGCAAGTCTTCGTATTAAAAATTGTTATGTTTTTAAAATAATTATATGGAGCAATAATATTGAAAACATTTTATTACGAAGTAATGTAATTTGTTTTTAATGCGTAGTGTCGATTCAAATTTTCCAAAAAAATCAAACTTTACGCTATATATTCTCTAAATATGTTGCGTATATAGTTAAAAATTTTAGAAAAGTTGCTAATAATTCAGAGTTCGTTTATAATAACAATATTTCTAGAATTACATTCATTAACATTATTGTCCGATTTTGAATGCTGAAAATTAAGAACGAACTTAGACACAATATTCTTTACAAGAGTTTCAAATGAAATAAATAAACAAAAAATTCTAAGAAATAGAAATGCAAACATCTAGCAAAATAACGACTCAAAGATCATAGAGGATATAAATTTTTCGAACAATATGAATGATATGAACTTGCAAATCAAATAAAAATGTACATCAAACCTAAAGTTCTTGGCTTGAAAAAGTTTAGGACATGAAAAAGTTTTTGGTTTGAAAGAGATGATGGCATGAAAGTGTTTCGGGTGTGAAAGTATCTCGGGCATGAAACAAAAAATTGTGTCTTGGGCATGAGACAAATCAGAGTGTCTCGGGCATGAAACAAGTGAGAGTGTTTCTGGCATGAAAGAGTTCGGTGTAGAAATATTAAGGCCAACGTTTTATGGACATGCTAAGTACCCCCGCTCCTCCTCTCCCGTCCCTAAAGTAACGCATTTTAGAGGCAAACGACTCCCAATTGCCTGGGGAAAACTCAATAAATTATAGCGCGCCCCGGTCGTCTTCCGACTCTCTCACGGACGCACTCGCCGACACCGACGAGATTGGTACTACCAGACATATGACGTTGAATTAACGCTGAATCAAGCGTTGTTTGGTTAAATCAACGTTTTTTCAACGTTGTTTTAACGTCAAATGCCAGGTGAGATATGCAAAGTATTTCTGTTCGTTGTATTACGGGACCCATGGATGAAACTTCGATGTAGGTACGTACTCTGATATGGAATTATTATATATTTAATGTTTGATCAATCCTCAATATCAAACGGAATTGGTTGCGGATTTTTATGGCTTTATATATGTTAGGTTAGTCATCGGTAAATAAAGGAAGATTTATTCCCTGATTTAAAGACATAACTGTATTATATTTTTAGAATAGTATCAAACCACAAAATATTCAGGGTCATACTTTGGTAACATTCGCAGTTCTGGTTACGTATTTTCATTAGCGGTCCCTTAACGGCTCCTAAGTCACCTAAATAGGGAAAACTCAATAAATTATAGCTCGCCCCGGTCGCCTTCCGACTCTCTCACGAACGCACTCGCCGACACCGACGAGATTGGTACTACCAGACATATGACGTTGAATTAACGCTGAATCAAGCGTTGTTTGGTTAAATCAACGTTTTTTCAACGTTGTTTTAACGTCAAATGCCAGGTGAGATATGCAAAGTATTTCTGTTCGTTGTATTACGGGACCCATGGATGAAACTTCGATGTAGGTACGTACTCTGATATGGAATTATTATATATTTAATGTTTGATCAATCCTCAATATCAAACGGAATTGGTTGCGGATTTTTATGGCTTTATATATGTTAGGTTAGTCATCGGTAAATAAAGGAAGATTTATTCCCTGATTTAAAGACATAACTGTATTATATTTTTAGAATAGTATCAAACCACAAAATATTCAGGGTCATACTTTGGTAACATTCGCAGTTCTGGTTACGTATTTTCATTAGCGGTCCCTTAACGGCTCCTAAGTCACCTAAATAAATAAATCAACTTGATTGTAGCCAACAAATAGCTTCGTCGCCAATCCTCAATCCTCCAATCCTACTTCAATTTCATTAACTAGATTGGGACGTATCTGAAGAACGAGCTACCATCTGTAATTTATTTATTTTTTTTATTTCTAAGTTTAGATTATTACTATCGGGAAGATTCCCGAATTTCATCACGGATTATTATGAATACGATAGTCTAATTTTTATTCAATAAATTTTGCATGCTTCGTAGCAATAATATATCGTATATCTTAACTTGTGTAAATGCTTTTAAAAATAATGTATACTTCCGGACTCAACATCTGCAGAAGAGGTTATCATTATCAATATAATCTTCCTTCAAAATTATAGGAGTTAAGATATCGCAATAGAGATATGACTAAAAATTCGTCCGATTTCTGAGCGACGTACTGACACATCACAACTGTGAGACGAACAGCGAATAATCTCAAGTTTAGATGAAGAATATTAAACAACGTTCAATATGGGTCACAAATGAACCCATTACGCCATTATTTGGGGTTCCTGGTATTTGACTCCCGTTGAAGAAGTGGAAAAAGTTCTTGGTTCGTAAATAAAAAAAAAGCGAGCGGTTGCGAGCTTGATGAGAGTCGAAAGCCGATCTCCGCTTTAGAGTTTTCTCAAGTCAATTGTGGGGCCGCCGCTGTGTGAGTTTAGGGGCGACTTACGAAGCCCAAAAATAGTCTTAGTTCTTTTAGTTAAAAAGTCGTCGGTTTATAAGTGGCTACTTATTCGGTTTAATGAAGCTTTAGATGAGGATAACAATATCCTCCAGAAAAGAAACCGTCTTAGTTATAGATATTTATCGAGCTTAGTTATAGAGGATATTTGATTCCAACGTGGCTACTGGAATGCTTGTTATTTAGTTATGCTGCTATTAAGCAAACAAGATTTTTGGTATTCAAAAATAAGTACGGAAATAGAGTGAGCAATTTGTAAAGCAATTATGTAATCCTAGTTAAAATCGAAAACGTCCAAGTGAAGAGCTCCGAATAAACATCAAAGTACATCAAAGCTACTCTAAACATCTACGAGTTTTTATCTTAATTTAATTTATTTAATTGTATTGAGCGTGTTGTTGCTAACATAAAGATTTCATCTTATAATGAGCAGCTTAGCTTTCCTAAACGAGTTAAATTTGTTGACGCTGGATAAGTGCGGCGATATGTGCTTAAGAAATGCCATCCTGATCGTGAGGCCATTGAATGACAAGCGTTAACACTTGACCAATATTAACTCCTCATTCAAAATTGAGTTTGGTATTAACGTAGTCCGTGAATCAATCAACAAATTTAAGGGAAACGTGTAAGTGAAAGTTTTATTTGGACTACTCCATATTTTGTTTAAGATAAATATTTGCTTCACGATCGTCAAATGAATTCTTCAGCCGACAAGGCCGTTGAATTTGTAAGTTTTTTATTAAGATGGCGAAGCCATAGACTGCTTCACTACACCAACGTCAACTGTCCTGCAGTGTCTCCTGACTGCGGCTTTAATTTGATACTTCGTACACAAGCTTATAGTATCTTAAACTACCACCAACAAAACCTTTGCTCGTTCTTTGAATTTTAGTTTGTCACGCAAGTGTCAGGTTATCTGGAAGCGAATTTTAGGCTGGAATCAACCATGAATGACTCTTTTTTTTACAATGGCGAAGGTATCGAACGCCAAAGTCTACAAATTTGTGTTCAGAGAATAACGTCATTTCGATGTCAGCGGTCGAGTTTATTTGTAATGCAAGTCTTGAACGTTCGAACGGTGTCGCAAAGATCAAACTTAACTAAAGTCTTTGTCCATTTCTCGAGTCGGTATTTCGTCTTTCTTCTATCCCGACCTTCGAGTTTGAGAGTTTATTGAAGAAATGTGTCTTTGATACGTCGGTGGTGAACAGAATTAATCATGAATAACAGTCATTTACTCTGTTTTCTAGTGAAGAGTGACTCGAAAAAATTGGTCTCACCTTTGATTCAAGATTCGATAATCCGCTACACATCAACGATATCGAGTCAAAACGTCACCCGTCCTTTTTAAAACTCTGTAAAATCTTTAATAAAATCCATTTACCTCGTAAAAACAGTCGAGGTCAATTTGGCCACAATTTTTTTCGATAAAATATTCAAAAACAAATATAGAAACTGCAATCAAGAGTGACCATATTTTCTAGAGTCACCCCACACTAAAGTCAGTTCTGGTCACGTTGGTACGTCGCTTGTTATTGGTCGAGATTTGGGTGGGAGTAGCGGAGAGACGTACCACGTCTATAATCTGTTGGAGGGTTATGCCGAAGGACACCTGTACGGGTTCACTTTCGTTGGCTACAGGTCGCTCCAGCGGGTTGTAGTTGCCGAGCAGGTCGCTCAGCAATCGCCTCTCGTGCTGACCGGCATTTGCACCTGCAACGGAAGAAGGAAAGATTCAGTTTTAAACAATGAAAAATGAAAAGTTTAATTCAATATTAGGAGCTAAAATAAATTTAAATAATATGTTTCTGATTATAGCATCGGATGATTAACGAATTTCCAGAAAACCTGTTTTTCCGTCCACCTTAGTACGCAATTCATTGAAAGTTGCCGTAAGAAAAATGACGTTGATAAAAAAAATTATACCAAGAATTGATAATCCGCAATATCGTTAAAGTTAATATCAATCAATCATTGAAGGCAGTGGTAAATTTAAATAGCTAGTTTGAAGCCGAGCTCAGGAATCACTTATAAGTATTCCATCCAGAGGACTCATCATAGTAAATTAAATGTTAGGACTAAACTCCGTAGAGTTTTTAGCACATTTTTCCAGGGGGCGAATTTCATGTGAATACTTACCGCTGCTGTTTCGATAATATTTATTTTTAAAAACTTTGATATTCTGGGGTGAGCGTTAGAGGTTACGTCATGACCAGCTTTCACCGACTAGTAGCATTGCAGAATTTCGCAGTCAGCTGGGACTCGTAGCCGTAACTAACTGTTCTTATCGTAGGGAACTTAACTACTCTGCTACCCTGCCTGACGAACCAAAATTCCTCACAACGCAATTGTATAGGTAAGAGTTTTAAATTAAAACTGAACATTCAATTCAATAAGGGATTTTGAAAATTTGAAAACACTCTATGAAAAAATTAATTCAGGACAAAAGTGAAATTAAACACTGAAACAAATTCTCATATGTCACCAATAATTAAGGAAACTTGTGTCATTTGTAAAATTTTTGAGTTAACAGAATGGAGAAATTAATAGCGTGTATTCGCACATTCATGCCGGGCGAGCAGAGCTCTGATGCCTAATGAATGCATGTGGAACGTAGCCGCTGATGCTTGATGATGATACATCACTGCCAAGTTTCGTGCTCAGACGCATCATGCGCGTAAAGCAATTACGATCCTGATTTATTTGATGATTATTGCGTCATTATTACAAACTTTTATGATTTATATTCTACCAAAACTAATTTGACGATTCTATCAATTTGAATCAAATATTACATTCACATCTGGTTTTGAAACTAATTTGGATATAGCGATTTGGATATAGACGAATCATGCGCGTAAAGCAAATACGATCCTGATTTATTTGATGATTATGGCAACATTATTACAAAGTATTATGATATATAATTCTACCGAAAATACTTTGACAATTCTATCATTTTTAATCAAAATATTTCATTCACACCTGGTTTAAAAACTAATTTAGAAATAGAGCATCTTCAGCTAAAGACTGAGTTGTAACTGAACATTGGGAACTTAGTTTCTTAATGCATGCAGAAGCAATAGAAACTATCTATCCCTTGTTCGAATTAGTATATTGTTCATTGCAACTTGTATATAATCGCTAAAACCCTTTACAACAATCATTTTCATTCTCATTTAGTTTTAGTTACCAAAAGATACTCACGAATTTGATCTGTGTTACACTTTCTAATATGGTCACTTTTCTATGTGAAATGAAAAATAAAAAAAACAATGAAAAGTTACCCTTTCAACTTTAGTATCAATACATTTTTGCCTAATTCCAAAAGGGCTAAAATTTATAAATAATCTTAACAGTTGGAATGATTTTGATTGAACGTCCGCACATAACATGATATCACCTTTTAATAAAAATACCTACTAATTCAAGCTTGTAATATAAAGAATTAAACTCACATTGGAAATCATAACCACAGTCTCGAAAGCGGCGACTATATGTCTTATTTTGTCACCAGTTTAGCTGCTCCTGCGGAATGACTAAGAAGCACTCTAAGAAATGTGAGAACTTTTGTCCGAATACCGATGCACTTTTTACCCTGGTGTAGGTCGTCATCCTGATCAAGTTGGGCCACGACGTATCAATATTAATGCGCAAATATTATTTCACAGGTTGGAACATATGACGCGTTTATTTCTACCACTGTACCCCGAATATAGCGCTAAGCGTGCAGCTGCTGCTGTTCCACTTGCGACGGACATTGCCAAATTGAAACGTGAAAATACAATTTAAAATTGCAAAACATTCGTCATGATTTCAATAAAAACTTACCCAACATAAGCGCGGAAACAAGTTGCTTAAATTAATATAAGTCTCTTTAATTTTATTGATAAAGCGAGACTAGAACTGGAGCAATTTATGCTATGTTTTCCAATAACTTATGTGCACTAAAACTGAAATAAATTGCTGAAGATTGCAAATCTACAACAGTTCCGTTGTTTTTATCATGACTTAAGGAACAGATATTGCCGTAAGTAGACTGCACGGGAAATTTACTCTTTAGAACGCAAGATAAAATTTAATTTTCCATAAATCTGTAATCAAAAATTTGTATGCTTCATTGAGGAGCTTGCGATCAGAACTTTTTTAATATAGTTAACTTCATGAAATCATCCAGCCTCGATAAAATCAGTTCAGTCCAGTAAACGTGAATTTATTTTTTATTTAATTTTATCTATACAGGTGTAACTTCTTCACATATTTACGGACCTTGTATCTATGGGCATCTCCGCGCAACTCCACACGACAGAAAAGCCACAATAATGCAAATCAAGCCACACAGCCACAGCAGCACAGCCACAGCAAGCTCCAAAACATGGTCGCTCTACCGTTGCGAAAGAAAAGTAAAATTGAATCACATTTGCATGAGAGATGATGGAAACATTACCGAGCAAACCATGATCAAATCATTAAGATGAAATTTGTGATCGATAGACAATTACAAATACTATGATCGATACGCAATGATTAATATTCTGGTTGATATACATGGGTGATTACTATGATAGCTAAGTGATGGAATGTCATTGAATAAATAATTTAAGAATTACTCCTTCTGGGATTTCAGTTAGACTTTTTTTACGTTTTGTATATAACTGGCATCATAAAACTTTTCCAAGTCACATTATTTTCTATCTTTACATTAAAAAGAATAAGAACTCACGCTTTCAGTTACGCCGTCCAGAGATTGGAAGCACAAAATTATTCGGTTAACTATCGATAAAACCATAAGTTGTTAAGAACCATATTTGTTTACTGAAGGTTAGTGAATGTGATTAAATGGTTAAAGGGGTTAAATATTAACTCATTTAACTAGTGGTTAAAATAACTTGTCGAAGTCTTCATTGAAGAACAGGAATTTTGCTGGTTCTCGCAGCTTCCTTGTTCGTGAAGAACCGACAACAGGATCTGTTTTCTTCCTAATTGATCCTTAATAATCCTGTTCCTGAACCCTAAAGGATCTCTCCTCTCACATGAAGGATCAGCGAGGATTAAATAGAGAAGAAATTGAAGGACGAACTTACCGTAGTGAAACGCTAGACAAAAATAAAGTTCGATTGCAGAAAGTAAAAGAATCATTTCCCTAAAAAACACAAAATAAATTATGAAAACGATAATGTATCGTCCGATGCTTTTGACTACTTACTTACATTAGGTTGTAGAAGTAATTGTACATTATTAATTATTCCAAACTAACAGGTTATTGGCTTGATAATTCCTTCAATTTTGGAATCCTGTTTTCCCAAATCCCGTCATTCCCATATTCCCTGATCCCGTTATAAATAAAAAGGCTTATGTTTTCTAATTGAATAAAGACCTCTTCAAACTCACGTTTAGATGAACAATAGGACATCCATCAAACTCTCGTTTAAAAATATAAAAAAGATTGTTTAATTCTTTTTAATAATTAATAATTATGAAATAATTATTCCTATCATGCGATGTTCCAGCTGTATTATCATTCAAAAATTATTTGCGAGTACATATTCAAGTGGCATTCGTGCTGTATCGCAATATATATAAAATTCTTACACTGCCTTTCCTAAATTTGATGAAGAAGCTGCGCAAGCGGCCGTCGAAAGCGCCATCCAATATGGGAATCCCGATCCAAATCTGTGCTCTGTCTCAACAATAACGTTCGCATGGATAAGAAACGCAAGCATCGCTCGGGTCCAAGAATCACATCTGCAATCTGCAAATGAGACCAGGTTTGAGGTCCCCGAACGAGTCCCAAGCGTTGCATCCCGCTAGGATTTTTCAGCTCGAACGCTTTTACTGTGAAATGGCATCTCCTGAGACCGCCAGAGGAAGATGCTGTTGTCTATGATGTTATGTGAACGGTAGACACGATATTAAGACCATTATTATTGGGGGAAAGTACGCTCAGCATAAATTATATCATTACCATGGAGTAACAATATCAATAACATAAAAGATATTATGTTAGAGAGAATTGATCTATTAATCAAGATTTAGGTCTGCACTCTAATAAGTTTGGAACTATAAGCACGTCGCAAGTGATGATGTCGCTCGAAGTCATCCATCATAATATTTAAAAAAATCATGAGTAATCATTCAATAAATCAGAATGTTTAGCCGGATAATTTGATCACCATGCTTTCAGTCCTGTAAAATCAACAAATTTACATCAAAATGAATCGAGATAAACAAATAATGTTAAAACGTTTGAGGAAATGCACGTTAACAAGAGAAGATAATGTGAGCTGAAGGTATAATTGAAAATATATTTTCGTCTTGAAATAAACATTGATTTTAAAAATTTCGATCGCGTCATCTATACAAAATCGAACTTACCTATACTCTGATAACTTGGAAATGATTTTACAAAATTTGCATTAGCAAATACATATATCCTGATCATAGGCAGGACTCACAATTAATTCTTATTAGGTTTTAGGTTCTCAAGGTAAGAACGCTGCGAGGAAGTTTTCAAGGTTCTTAGGTTGGCTGCCTTCCAAGACTCTGAAGAACCAAAACGTTTTTTTACGTTACAAAGAATAAAAAACTAATGAAACAATATATTCATCCGAAATTAAACTTGACTTAGGCAAATAGCAGGTGGCTTTCGGCCATTTTTATTTAGCTCTGAAAAATCACGAAAACGTTAAATTTGATAAAAGAACGGTTTTGTT